ACAGGTCAGTTGAATAATTGTTATTTTGTTTTTGAGAGTTCAATTATTTATACAAGTTCATTTTTTTCCTTATTTTTTATTTTTTTTTGTTTATAACATTTTTTATAACATGTGCATTGTTCATGTATTTAACAAAAATCGTTTCCTGCTGTAAACAACACAGATAAAGGGTAAATTAAAACCTAGAAAAAAATTATGTGCTGTCTTTTGTGCTAAGATTTTGATTTTGTGGATTTAGAGCGTGTATTAGGGACTTGTTGAATTTACTAACATTTTCCTACCCTGACGAGAGAATATCCTAGCAAATTGAAATAATCAATCTAGAGATATTGGCTCAAAAACAACTATAGGTGAGTAGCTTCCCGTATGGGACCTCAGTACCTGCTGGGAAACTGGCTAACTAACAAAAAGAACTCTTCAGTATTGAATATAGGTATTGTTGATTGAATGTTATGTGTGGAATTAAAATTTTAGCACAAAAACAAAGGATGGTACCTAATTTAAACTTTCATTGACCTAAAATATCGATTATTGACTTACAATTATTATTAAAATTACACAGTATGTTTCGATTTTTGAGGAATGTTAGATCGAGGGTTTCTCTGGCGTGCTCTTCCCCCTCATTAGTTCCAGGATGAGAACGGTACGATTTACTTTAATAGTAAAGTAGACGTTTCACAAATTTTTCGTTTCTTTTACATATCACAACCTCCCTTAAATTTCCCTAATATTTGCTATGTCGGGCGCATGTCCAGTAAGTAAAATTGAGTAAGTTTCTACAACGAAGGTCCTATTTGTTTTTCATTTCATTTTTCAGAAGATTTATTGTTATAAATTAGGACTATAGTATAGTCTGCGAAAGCTATGCTAGCTGAAAGTAAATTATCCAAAATTTCTGGGGCCGAAGCTGCAAATACTGGAGTTTTCTTATTGAACAGAACTGGGTATGAGCTCCATTGAAGGGAAGAAAAGACTAAAATTAGACATGAAGAGTAAATCTGGAATTTTTGTAGGATACTCAGATAATATTAAAGGGTAAAGGAACTATTATAAAGAAAAGAATACAATGACTATTGAAAGAGATGTTACTTTTGGAGTCTTTGAAAATTTGGTAGAAAAAATTGTTTCTCTTGATTTAGTTAGAGAGTCTTTCCGAGAACAGTGACGTGGAAAAGTCAGAATTAGAAGAGGAGCAACCAGAAAAATTGGAAGATAATTTATTGTCCGTCGTTTTTAATCTGACACTTTCCGTGTGAGGGGCGACGGGATGAAGCATATGGCAAAAACAGGTGAATGTTGACATGTTGAATGTTGATATAAAGTCCACTTCCATACGTTAGGTAGGGTCATACTATATGTGCGTATGCCAACATCATTGTAAATTTTAATATAAATATAAATCATAAACTAGATAGCTTATTCAATAAAGCAAGGTTATGTTTTGTAATTTGTGACGTCAGAATTCGGAATTTGTTGCCCGTAGCAATAGACACCCCTCGAAATTAGAGAAAGGAGAACGTTTCATGTAACAGAACACATAGCAAAGTCTCCTAACAAAATTTTGGGGATTCTCTGGAGTTATCCATGTTTTTCGGCGGGTACTCGAAAAGAAAAATTGTTATTGAAGGCTTAAAACACACGTTTTTGGGCGTTGCACCCGAAAAAATTTTCGCCTCTATACGTATTTCTCATATGGGTATTTTGGGTATTTTTATTTTGCAAATTGAGTATTTAAATTCCAAAAGGTTGGCAACACTGGGTGACCATTGGCGTTCTAATGTAGAGTGCCACCAGCTCACATTCCTTTGGAGTATCAGCTTATAATGGGCGGACTTTAGCACCTGTCCTGGAGCAAGGATTAGATCAATATGTAGATCAAACACCATTGAGGGAGAGAGAATAGAGAGATCAAAGATTTCGACCTTCTAGAGTTTTGAAAGTGCCTCAAAATTTATATGTATAATGATTATGATTTAAGCTTTTTTAGTTTAGATGTAGACGAGCCAGCTACATCTGATGATGCAATGAGAAACAACTATGCCAGTCTGTGGAAAAAAAGCTTTAATTGAGAATAACACCTGGGTCCTTATTCTTGAAACGGGAGCAACGTTCCCAGGAGAACAAGTGTACCATCTCCCTCAATGATATGCAAATGATAATAGAAGTAACAAAGTTGGAACACTCGTTCTCCTGGGAACGCTGCTCCCCTTTTTCAAGAATAAGAACCCTGATAGATAGTTGAGAAGTCTCATAAATGCGTGAAATTATAGACAGCAAGTGGGTTTCGGAAATTAAAAAGGATAAGGAGGGTAACATTTGTAAGTTTAAATGCCATCTAGTAGCAAGGGGATTCAAACAAAATGTACTTGAGGATGCATATAGTCCAGTAATTAGATTAACAACTATAAGTACAATTTTGGCTCTGATGTGTGTGCGAAATAACGGTGGTTTATCAAATGGATGCTTGTAACGTTTTTTTGCATGGTGAATTAAAAGAGGATGTAAGAATATATGTATTTACCTAAAGGATGTTATATGTATAATAGGAGGGTCTGATATGACTTCGTTTTTAAGTTGTGCTAAAATTGTGAATGTGTAGTAAAGGACTATATTGAACCATATTGACAGAAAGTATTTGCAGAACTATGATCTCATGCCCTTCTGCTATCAGCTATCAGAGAGAAATATCAATTTCAGGATTCTACAGGGATCTGATGACCTGGAATTGATTCCTGAAAAACAATTTGAACTTAGAGAAGGTCGTTCAACCAAGCTATAGGCGCTCAGACTAGCCGACAATACCACAAATGGATTTAGTTGGAATAAGACACCTGTAGTAGTTGTTAGATATCAAACGATAGATTCTGGAATGACTGATTAGCTCACACGAAGATTCAAGCCGGCTATCAAGAAATGGCTTGCAAACTAGATCAAAATTATCTGACAGTAAGAATCTTCGGCGTAAAGATTGGCAAACATCTTCCAAGAACTAGAGAACTGGAAGCTAGTGTTCCATGAGGGCTCTATGATCGCCACAATCCGAAGACATAGGACGTGAAGATTGCATTGTACATACGTAGCTGATTCAGCAGTTCTAAACGGGTAAGAGAGAAACTCCATAGGGAGAAATGAGCTTGATTCCAGAATTGTGCATCAACATTAATCATTCTGACTAAGACCCAAGTCATCCTTTTTCAGAGAACAACAATCTATTTTGGTTTTTAGTACTCTTCCGATCCATGGTTGCACCTTAATTTCGGTTTGAACGTGGGATTTTCTCCTGGGTACTAAATCCTATTATTTGATGTTGGTATGACCTTTGACTATCAATAGCTAGATGACAATTTAATCAATGCTTCAACTGTTTGACAACAGCCAAAAAGTACTAGAAGCAACTCGGAGTCACGTGAGGCTGTGGAAAACATTCAGCTCAAAGGGGTCGTTAACGCAGCCTGGTTTTTACAGAGATACCTACTTGCGATGGGAATCTCAAGAATACTTTATACGAAGAAAAGCAGAGGATAACTTCTTGAAAGTGTGACCGTGACCACTTTGGTTCTGAGAGTTACTACGATTCTGCGGAAAGGTATCGTTATGGCCGCAAATAAAAATTACGAAAGTAGCGGGGATTCACCATCTACTTTTCACTCCAAAAGATCTCTATGAAAACGAAGAACAATATTATAGGTTTGCTGTAGGAGATTATGGCGAATACTTCGTCTCTAGCAATATCCCTGTTGCAGTTATAGGCGAAAAATCAGTACATGATATCTACGGATCACAGCTAACAAGCCCAGAAAACTTCAATGCGTTCAAATAGCATTTAGGTTATTAACATCGAACTATGTCGCCCACAACAAAATCTATACTAAATACTTATTTCAAGAAGTCGTTCCTACACTACATTACAGTAATTTTGTTTTCATAAGGTGTCTATCAACAAGGTTGCCGAACTGTTCATTTCTTTAAGATTAGGAACTATGAGAAGGCATTCCATAATCCATAGCATTGAGTTATGGGCAGGGAGAGCAATGAACAACTCACGATACCGACAACATCTACAGAAATGTTTCATTGGAAGGACACCTGGAAGACAATATGCTTATCCCATTTCAATCACAAGAAGAGTCAAACAGAGAGATAAGAAATCATCAAACCTTTTCACGCTGGCAATAGATTATGTATTCGAGAAACTAGACCAGTCTTGCAATGGCATAAATATAAACGCCTAAATCATCTACGGTTCGACGATAGTTGATAGGTTGGTGCCGAAGCTTCGGAAGTGATGGGCCTGAACAAAGTAATGACAAATAGCACTGAAGAAGAGTAACTATCGGAAATCTCTATATGCAAATACGACTTGAACTTTTACAAACAGCAATGTCGACAAATTATCTAAGATATAGTGCTGGACATACGACTTTCCGACAAATAGTGAAACACCTGGATAAGAGGGAGAATTAGGTTTAAGAACAAGTACCAAAAGACCACAGATGGAACTTAAAACTAATACCATATGTATATATTTTTATATTTCTTCACAACCAAATATAAATAATGGATAATTATAACTTTATGTGAATATGTTCAGCCAAACTTTTTCTCCTGCAAGTTATCAAACTGTTGTGATGTTCTAAGAGGATCCGACAAGGGTTTATTAAAAGTTTTAAATGGACTATACCTGTATGACATTTACATTTTACATCAAAAATGGGTTTATCAGAAATTTTAGATGAACGAAGTACAGAAAATGTACAGGCTCCTTATACAATTATTGAATATATGGATCTAGCTTCAATTAAGTATATGGATTTTAATACAGACTATAGCGCTTGTAGAGTATTTCCAGAATTATTAAAATGTTCTAATAAACATCAAACATAAAACAATGAATATCCATGATATGAAAGATATCCTATAATTTAAAAAAGACAAAAATGTTTCTTTTGGATGAACAATAAATGAACTTGACGAAAAAAGAGGCGGTATAAATTACTTACCTTGTATCTGGCAAGTTATCAATGAAAACAACCGATTTCAACTGCTACCCAAGTTCGCACAAGAAAACCGCTGATAAATTCGAAAAATTAGATGACTGTTATATTGAAATAAAATCCCGGATAGTCGATAATAAAGGCTGGTCTCCGCAATAGTCGGGATCCAAACGCGTTGTGTGCCAGAAAGAGGTAGAGGAGAAGAGCCGAAGCAGAGCGTGCACAGAGTTTGATCAGACTCTCGGACCGATTTCTGTTGCTCTGCACACACGATCGATGACGACTGAGAGGAGGCCCTATTTGCCTGCTGTGCTGTGTAAAGCTTTCGGGGGGGCCTGAAAACTCTTAAGGCCGATTTTTCAGGCGTAGTCGCCGGGTTTAAAAATAAAGAATATTATGGGACTTCCGTTCTTTGCTTTCGCTATGCACACACTGTATTTTAAAGATTTATTTATTGTTTTGGCCTTCGGGTTTGTGTTCCCTTTCCTTTTTCTCGTTTTTAGCAGATAACTGGCGAACTGTGTTACAACACAGTGGTCTAAATTGAATTGGTTCTTTGCGACAGCCGCTTATATTTGAAGATAATTTCGTTCTATTTGTATTTATTATCTCGAAATGTAGGTACATGATGGATTCGGTCATATTTTATTGTTATTTTGTTTCCAAATTGATAAACGAGAGAAAAGTAACTTCCATTTATTAGTTGAATGTATTATGTCATCTGCAGATGCAGATGCCGAATGCTTTAGCAAACCTTTGGATTCGGGATTCTTGGATATATATATGGAAAATACGATACCTCATTAGGTATCAATTTGAACACACAAAAAAAAGGCCGATAACAGGGTGGACATTCTATAATACGGGTAACTATAACAGAATAAGCGTAAACCAGATACCTACTTAATTCTAACAATATTTCACCGACACACTCCGTACCGGCGACAATGTCTTTTGAACTTTTTCTCTACATAATCTCTATAGAGTATATTCTTTATGCGTTTAGCCAATTTTTAGAATGTCTCCTTTCTGCTAAGAAATAGGAGTACTTTTTGTGATAGTCTGGAATGATATTTGGGGGTGTCCATGACAATGACGGGACCTTTTAGGAGCTGATGTTATGATTTCAGAGAAGTAGGTACCTACCTAGTCTTCAAAAACATTGTAATTTCATCATGGTAATCGTTGGTTGATTTTGATTCGAATTCAACCAAACCTCCATTTAGAAAGCCTCTAGGTATCACTACCATAGGTGCTTTCCAGTGACCCATTTGAGTTAAATCTGAGCAGCTCAGGAGTGTTCCACAAGAGTGTCATACACTTGAACTAACTAATTTCTGTTATCCCCTGCTCCCTCGTGCACCAACCTTTATTTCGGTGTTCCATGCTCCTAAAGTCCGAAATCGTGGGGAAGAGCATTCCAGTGTTGCTTATTTCGAACAGTTCGAGAGTGTCACACTCCAGGAGCATGATACTCTAAACAATTTAGGCACTGGAAAGCAGCTCCTCAAATGTGCGTTATAATACTAATAACCTACTGCGTTTTGACTATCTACCTATTCTTCCACACAGACCAAACCAAGAATGAACTATGGATTAACCAAATTGGTGTCCTCTAGCTTCCAGCAACTTCCAAAATAAACAGACAAATTTTCAAGAACAGTTTGTTTAAAAGGAAAATTTCCATTATTTTTCTCAGTACCGTTACTCAGAACTCTCAGAAGTAAATTTAAACCTGCCTGGTTGTATAGGTACCTACTGAACTAGGTTTTGCCTCGATCATGTGAAAAGTTTTCAAAGTTTTCTGATTTTTTTTTTCTGATTTATAAAAATTCTGTCATTAACAGGTTGAGTGCCACCGTCCAGTATACTGGACGGGGTTTTTTATCAGGGCCCGCATCCAGTAAACTGGACGCTACTAAATACCATCTAAATTAGCTGTTAAACATGCAGGATATGGCAATATCTTGTTTACCAAGAAGCGGGCCACAACAGAAGTTGAAAATTTCAGTTTTTGCTTGATTTTATCATTTCTTGATTATGTTCAGTATTTATTGGAATATCCTTGAGCTTTTAATTTTTTCATAAACATTCTCTTCGTTATTGACAATAATAACTATAAATGTTAATTGATATATGAATACGTCCAGTATACCGGACTGGTGGGATATTTCAGTTACGATTATCAAAATATCCCGACCACAGAACACATATCCTCACGGATAGAAAAAAAGCTTAATGGAGGGCGGGGCCTAAAAAAAAGCTTCGGATCGCATCCGCTTGGTGACGCTGGAGTGAAACAAAACTACAGGTGCGGAATCATACGGAATGAACACCACCAGAAACTATGTCACAGTTTACTTCAGCAATTTATCTGTTACCTATGTGTCAAAAAAATATGTCAAAATAGTTCTGAATGAGAATTTGTCTTGATATTGGTGTGCATTTTAGGTAACTCCAGATAAATGTTTCTTAAATTTAAAAAAAAAAATCAGATTTTACACAAAACACAAGAAGTTTGGGCGTTTTCGCTCCACTCGGAAGAAAAAGCCGTCGCATGGAATTCGGCAATAATGGGAAAAAATTAATAGGTTTGTTTGGACTTCACTTCAAAATCAATTCTGAATTTACCTGCGCCTGCACATTTGATCATATCCAAACATATATTAACAAATGCGTAAGCGTAGTTCGATTCTGAACAAACAAACCTAATATTGAAAATATTGACATTGGGAGGACTATTTTGAAAGCTGATTTGATTACAGAAACCTTTATCATAAATAGTTCGGATCGCATCTACCGCGCCGTGAGGCCGTATTGTTCCCCAAAATTTTATTAGGCAGTTTGCCTTCTATCTGTGAGGATATGTATTATGTGATCCCGACGTCCAGTATAATGGATATTCACCGATATTCACTTACAGCTGTCAAATTGACATATATATCTTACATTGGATTGGATGTCTAAACAATGTATGTGCGTATATAATAAGTGAATTTGAAATACTATTATTTGCTTTTGGGCCCAGGGAGAAGTTCATTCAATTTACCGTGGCACTCAACCTGTTAATTCTTATAACATTAAGGACCGTGGCTTATTCACCTTCTGATAAACTGTCAGGTATATGCTATCTGTTATTCTCTGACCAATAAAAGTATATAGAACGGTAAATTAATCTTACAGATTGTTACCAGTAAGTTTATCTGAAGATGGAATAAACCGGGCCTAAGTCCTAAAAATGGTCATTTTTAGGACTTAGATTCATTAATTTTTGCTTAAACTCAATTAATCTTCAAAGTAGTCATCCATTCTTCTCAAAGAGACTTATATTGAATATAAAAGGGAGAAAAAAATGTCGAAAGTTCCACAAGTGTCCAGAATTTAATACAAAAGACGTAAAGTGTATAAATCTTTGCTAACTTTAGAATTTTCCAACATGACGAAGGAAGCACTTTACCCCATGAACCCCAGCAGAACTCCCCTACTTTACGGGTTGTCTTAAGTTCATAAAGATGGAATACCCATTAGACCGGTAGACTCTTTTGTAGAATCACCTCACCTCAAGCTCTTGTCATGGCTTAATAAAATCTCAAGGGAAGTATCAGTGTTTAAGAGCTTTTTCTCTACTTAAAACTCAATTGACTTTGCTAATTACCTCAAGAACATTATAATCCCAAATAACGCAATCTTTGTTTCATTGGATGTAATGCTACTATTCCCCAGCATTCTACCTACTGAATGTATTGAACTTGTTGAGGCTCTGTCAGGGAAATCTGTTCTTCCAAGGTTGATTGCTTTTGACCTCACTCGTTTATTAGAATTGTTTCTGGAACAGAGTTATTTCAAGTTTAATGGCAAAATGTTTAGACAAAAAGCTGGCTTGGGCATGGGCCCTTGTCTTTCACTTTTCTTGAGTGATTTATGAACAATTTAGAATTAAAGATCATAGATAGTCCATTTGCTATAAACATCTCATAGCCTATAAAAGATATGTAGACGATATTTGTATCGTTTGGGGAGGTAATGATGAGGAATTATCTGATTTCTTGAATTATACTAACTCATTACACACTAGGTTAACTTTCACTTGGTGAGGGAAAACAATAGAAGCCTGCGTTTCTTGGATCTTCTATTGAAAAAAAACTCTGGACAACAGAATCGAATTTGAAATCTATATATAACTGATAATATAATACAATGGAATTCCAACTCACAACTCACCATACTCCCACGAGTTTGCTTCTTTCCCTCCCTTTTTTATAGAATGTTTAAATTGCCTCTATCTTTTTATAGAGAATTCAATAAAATTAAGCAAGTGGCAATCAATAATGGGTTTTCTTTAGATACAATCAATAAAATTTATTTTAAATTTACGAACAAAAATAAATTCACATCATATTTCTCATTCTAAACCAATGGGCACAATTAAATACAGATCTTTAACGTTTTTCGGTTCTGTTTCTCTTCAACTTGCTTCTTTCTTCCAACATTTGAATTTATCAATAACATTTTAAATGCTCGGCTGTTTATGTTGGACAGATGGGAAGAAGGATTTCACCCAGAGTCAAGGAGACTGCACATTTTCAACTCAAACAAAAATACTGAAGTTATTGAGACAAAATCAGCATTTGCCAACCATCTCCTATCATCAGGTAATGATTTCTCAATGTCAGAGAACGTTACCCTCATGCATGAATGTTTCAAGAGTAAAAAGTTAGATTTTCTTGAGATAATAAAGATCACGCGGGCCAAGAAAAGTCCTGTTCAAATTTTCTCCCTTTTATATTCAATCAATCTTGTTTTAGATTCTGATAAAATTATTAAATCATCAACATGTATCAACAAAAACATTTCATCATTGTAATATAAACAAGGATCTACCAAAGATCTCACCAAACCTATGATGATCAAATGTTGATGAAGTTTTATCACACCAGCATTTAGGTGATTGTCTTAAACCATATAAAGATTTGTTAAGCTTGCACACACTTCCCTCTAAAATTTCTCTTAGATCTTTTGGCACTTCCATATAAACCGGTTGTTTCCATACACCATTGAGAAACGCGCACTCAAAATCAAGTTGGTAAATTTTCAAGTCTTTTTGAACACTAAGTGATAAGAGAATTCTGATGGTTAACATCCTTGCGACTAGTGAATGTATTTCTTCTTTCTTCTCGCAAATCTGATTGCATAAAACCTCTTGCTACAAGACTTGCCTTCTTTATCACTTTTCCATCAGTTTTCTTTTCTGTGAAAATACATT